TCTGCAAGGATAGACAACAAACCTGTCTGTGGCAGTATGTTGCCACAAACTTTGTACATCTAATTTCCGTAGTTGCAGGTACGAAGTAAGTGAGAGTTAAGTGAGAGTTAAATAGGATAAAGTGTTTTGCAAAGAGTAGCAACTTCAGTAAAGTTTATATACCATTTATTTACCAAATCTAAACCTGAGTTATTTTGCTCGGGGATGTTTCTACCAGAAGAGATGGGACACCTATCTACTGCTTTTGAATTAATGTCAGTAAGGCAGTACAGCATGCCCTTTAGTTATAAAATATGATGGGTCACAGAATATGGTGTAACACTGGAATCCCAAAATCCAAGTCTAGAATTTCAATTGGAACCTCTTGTGAAACTGGGTATCCAACTTAGAAATTCAGATTAATTTCACCAGCTTGACATAGGATTCATGCTATGTGCTACTTGTGTAAACACTGTGTAAATGTTTCTTTGTATGTTTCGAAGGCTAGGTACATTAGGAGCTCTCAATTTCATACTTTTAGTGTAAAAAGGAGCAAAATTAAGGACAACTGTAATTCCTTAGGGTCTTTAGTGAAAGAAAAGAAGAAAGAAAAGTAACGGTCAGTGAAAACGTGACTCGAGAGGCAGGAGTATATCAGAAATAACTTCAAAAGGCATACTTTTTCTAAATCTTTGTGTAACCTATCACCATAGAGAACAAGTATGAGTTACTTATGCTAAGGCCCTTGGAGTGCAGTGTTTCAGAATCACCTCTCAATCAGACTGCATATAGGGAAGAATGAAAAAATAATCCTATGCATTTGATACCCTTAGGCTTCAGGTTTTATTCTTTTTAGGTTTCTAATTTTTAGAAATGTACAGCAGAATATAATGACCTCACCATTTTTTAGTAACTGTTATGGCTCCCCCCTTTGGACATTGTTTTTAGTTTCTTTTTGAGTTTACAGTTATTTATATGATTCTGTTTTGGGTCTTTGGTTTCTTTGTCATTTTGTGTCCTTGTCTGTCTACCATATATACACCTTCATGCTGGTTCCTCAGTGCTGGTTTCTCGTGGTGACTTTGCTACTTATGTGTGTTTTCCCTTGCCGTCTCTTGGTTTTTTGGTTTTCTGTATTTCGTTTCTGGATTTTCCTTCTGTTGCCTTTTTGAATCTTCATTAAATAAGCGAAACTCATCTTAGTTAACTGTATCATTTCATGATTTTCCATCATGATTTTCCATCCCATTAAGCAGTCTCCTCTGCCTGTCTGTAAGAGAAAACTGTTAAAACTGGTTCCCTCACTACCTCATTACTTCACAACACCAGAGAGAGGTGTTGGCTCTGTGATGCTGTGGACATGCTTTTTGAGGAAAAGTTTATGCATTGATCTATTCTGGATAAAAATTGTTTATTCTATGTGAGTATTCATCTTCCTCATAGTTCTTCCTGTTTATTATACAATAACAGGTCTTGCCATATACTGTCCTTAATTTTGCTGTTTGGGTTTTGCCATATAGGTTCACATCTCATCACCCTTACTTGTTAAAGGCTTATCATGTTGTAACTTCTAGTTTTTCCCCTCACATTTACTCGGAGTTTTGTGCTACTATTCTCTGTAAAATATTATCTACATTCAGGTCTAAGTTCATTTTTTAACTCAACCTGCTTGTTTGCATTTTGGGATCCATATTCAAGTACAGTACCAAATAATTGACAATTTTGCAAAGCGGAATGTGAAAAAAAAATCCCCTTTTCTATGTACAAAGCTGAAACATGCAACGAATTGCATGAAAAGGTGGCACTACACAATACTTAGTGAAAGGGGGGGATATAGAGATGTTTGGCATATCTTTCAGAATTTTATTTCAAAGTATTTCAAAAATAGTTTGATATACCAATAAAAATGTTTAAATTTGATCTTTGACAACAAGCTGTTTATGCAAATTTATGCAGGTATGTTGAGAACTCAACTTTTCCTGTCTGTTTCCTGACACCTTTTACAAATCTCTCTGAACACATTTCTAATTGTGTCCTACATAATGTCTGAGGGACGTTAGAGTCGCTTTGCCAAGGTCCTTTGTTGTGAAGGTGTTTCCGCACTGATCTCCCAGAAACCCCACAGAGGACAGCAGATCGTGTTACCCTTAGCAATGCCTCTGTTCTCACTCAAAGATGCATTGTTGCATCACTTCCTCAAAGGATTTCCCATTAGTAAGGATTTATGGGCACAAACACACCAAGAACCACTGTAATTCTAACATAGGTCTCAGAACATGATTTGGGTGGTGACTAAATGGAAAAGAAAAACTGGAGAGGAACCTTGTGAGACTGTCTATTCTGGTGTCAGGAAATCACACCTCAGGAGGTCTTGGGTTTAGAGGTTCAGAACACCCTTGCACGCACACCTGCATTTTTTATGGTTCTAATATTTTCCATTGCCATCTCTACTTTGATCTCAATCTAGTTAGTGTTGATAACATGCAAATATCTAACAAAATCAACAGCAATCATTTATTATTAGGTTCTTCAGAGAATCTCTTTTTAATTAGGACAGGTAATGACAAGAGGAAAGTAAAGTGTTTTTGGTTTGTAAGTAAAATGCCGAAAATATTATGATGTAGGCATCAATTTTTAATAATAGTGTTCAGGAAATAGAGCTAGATATCATACATATTGATTAACTGTCTCAAGATCATCTCTCTAGATTGTCATATTAGGTCAGTCTACATACATATACACAAACACAGTCCACTTAGTCATAATATTTATAAATTATAAAAAATAAATTATACATTTTATAATTATTATAAATAAATTATAAAATATTTATATTCCTTTCTCAACATGTGATATTTGTTATCCTTCAAGGTAAAAGGTCAGAAAATGAATGTTTGTGTTGCACCTTGGCATTTTATCTCTGAAAAAAGCAAAATTATTGATTGAGTTTTTTTTTTTTTTTTACAGTGTAGTTCTAGCCAACAAAAACATGAAATTTTAGCGCCCTCTGGTGGTAGAAAGTTCACTCTTCATACTATATATGAAGGGGAGTTGAGAAAATGTTGCTTAGGTAGATTAAGCAGGTCTATATTCTAGTCAGTATCTCTGATATAATTCTTTTAAAACATGTTTTCTATGATGGCATAATTGATTTATGATATCTATTCTTCTCCACTAGAGGTCAGTGCAGAAAAGGAGAAAAATGTGCTGAGTGTGAAATAGACACCTCCACTTGAAAAAAGAGTCTGAGGGAACTTGAACTTAGTTTTAGATAAATTTGGAGTACAAATATTTTCTGCTTCTGAGAAATCGGTGGGCGGCTAGGGTTAAGAATTATAATTTAGCACTACTATTAAATTTGTGTATTAATTAACCAATTTTTAATTCTGGTTATGGTCCAGAAACAGCTACGTTCTTCTTCTAAAAAGATCATTCTCTGCTCTATTTTAAATAGTCATTTTAAAGGTTTTTCATGAAGATTGATGTCCATTTTATTATTATATACCTCTGCAACTAAAGAGTGTACTGAATAACACATATCGCAGCGGCATAATCTTGATTTCCTCCCTGTAAAATAGTGTTTCACTTCTCTCTTCACCCTTCATACACAGTGCTGTAGCAAATCCCATTTCTTTTCCAGCCTTATTTCTAACGGTTCCAGTTGTTTTAGGCTTTAATTATTGCTCTAAATATAGAAAAGTTCCCATGGGGAATAGGTTGGAATGTATATTCCTGATATTTGTAGAATTACGGTAAACCCCCTCCATCTGTAAGGTTTGTTTGTTTTTGTAAAATGGATCTTGAATTTTCTTATAGACGACTGAAGGGATGAGAATCTTACAGGAAATATGTTTGTCGTAAAAATATGGAATTTTGACAGGGATTTAAAACAAAACTGGGCAACATAGTCAATTTTTTGCAATCAAATATGAGAAAATAAAAGATGGTTAATTGATGATACAGATTTTTATTAGTGTGATTTAGAAAAAATTTATTTTCATATACTTTTTCTTTATTGATCTTTCATTTCTATGATTTTTTTTCTGAAAATGTCAACAATGTCTTCAAAGTTTGGTATTCTGATTGTAAAAGCATTTTGTGACGTGTATAAAAACACATTTGGGTTGGCAAAGTTATATCACATTAAGCTAGCTTAAAGTGTTGAGGAAAATCTTTAAGTTATCAAGTCAGCTGCTGATTTAAGTTAATTTTATAATTTATTTGGGTTTAAACTTACTTTGTTGGGGTTAATCTTTAAAGAGCTGAGTTTGTGTTTTTTTTTTTCCTTTTTCATTCTGGAATTAATTTCCACACAGGTAGTTGGTGTCTCTGTCGATGCCTGAAAAGTGCTGTATTCTTCTTCTGGCTGGTATTGTGCAGCAACAGGTGGGGGTGGAGCTGGACCAGGTTACACCATTCTACAAACAGTCCCTCGAAATTTCTGTATGGATTCCCACTTTCTCTGGCATCTCATTAAAAGTTCTACCTTATTAAAAATAACCATAAATAATGACTTTTAAGTATCTTCAGCGTAGTTGAAATCAGTGGAAATATTTGACCCGTATCTGTTTCTTCAGCATTATTATAGTCTGAACATATTTTTTCTATGTCTCTTTATGTTTAATCAAATCTAAATCTGCTCAGAGTCAAGCATCCTTTTTGATAGTGTATACATAAAGTACTGATGAATTAAGGAAAGGATAGACCTCTATAGGAATAAACACTGTTGATCAGCCCACATAGGAACTTTCTCTGTGGGTGTGAATAATGAATAGCAGTTTTTCAAAATGAGAAGAAGCAGATAACAAACTAGTTTTCCAAGAAAAACTAACTCTACTACATGTTTATGCTGTTGAAGGTATGCAAATTATTTGAAAGCCTTTATATTAATCACTATAAAGCAGCCAAAGCTAAAATGTGCATCCTTTGCCTTCAACCTACAGTAATAAAATGGAATACGATTTGTCCACAGCTTTCTATGTCATTTACCCTAAATGAGACACTCAGACACCAGTGAAGGTCAACATTTAGTGTCTTTATAAAACAAATTTGCAAAATATAGCCAAGGCTTATTCATTTAAATACACATAAATAGCAAGAAAATACTTTCCCATTTTAGTTCAAATATTTTTTGCACTCATCATCGTGCAAATCAGAGATGAACATTACAGGGAAAAATTTAGAACAAAGTTTTTGCCGATTTGTTGCACCAGAGCAAAAAACACAAGCATACCGTTGCAGCTAAAGCGGCTGTTGATTAGTCAGAATTATAAAGCATCCAAAGACACAGAAAATTCTCAATTTCAAAACAGAGTTGTATTCAAGTCAGATATCAAAGTACTCATCTTTGGATGGATGTCTCAGTCTTTAAAGAGTAATATACATATATATATATATTCTGTTTTTTAATTATAATTATTTTACATCATCAGCCACATCACCTTAATTAACACCACCACGGCCAGAGGTTTTATTTACAATAGTGCAGATAAGGAGCTTAAATCAGAACAAGGCAGTGGAGAAGAATAAACCATGGTCAAATATCCTGATAGGTTTCAAGTGCTTTAAAAAAAAAAAAAGAATTTAAATAAAACTAAAAAAAATGGAGATGAATGCTCTTATCGCTGTTTATTTCTATCATGTAAACACAATCAATATAGAAAAAAAAGCTTTCAATAATTTATTTCAAAAGTCTGTAAATGTCTTCTGCTGTAAAATCCTGTTTTTTTAATGGGTCGGATCTTCATGTAAACGTTCATTTTTTTTAAATGTTAGGAAACACCAATTTACAGGTTCATTAGATGCCTTTAGAATATCTGTAAACCTTCATGGGGTTTAAATTATTATTTTCATGGCTGAATTGAACCAAATGAAGAAGAAAATAAACAGCGTTACCACTGCCATACAGCAGGCTTCACAAAGTTTCCCCTTTTTTCCCTTTTAATAAAAGGTGCTTTAACTTCCTGGAGCAGAACAGACTCTTATTTTTTTTTATTCTAAAGCTTAGAGTTCATTTTGCCGACTCGGGGATGGGTGGAGCACGTTCCAGCCTCATGGTCCATGGGTCAGCGGTTGCCGCGTAAAATGGAGAGTGGGTAAGCATTTCTTCTCCAGCGAGGGCGAAAGCAAACACTCCCCTTTGCCTCAATGCTCCAGCCTTCTCCTCCTCTGCAGCCCGTCTTCCCTCTGTTTGCCGCTCCTCCCTGCTCTCCCTCAGCGAACCGTCCACACTTTTAAACCCTAACCCTCTGCCGTTGAGGCCGAGAAGATCTCCAAGTCCGTGGTTCTTAACGCCCTGGTAGGCGGTACTAAGCCCATTCTCCTCCATCCGGCCAGCTGAGACAGTGGGAGGGCACAGGAACCCTCCGGCGGACGTGGACCTCCAGGCGGTCGGCTTCCGCCCCCGTCTGGGCCGTGAGATACGACAGCTTTGCCTCTTGATGTGTCGGTGAAGGTGGTCGGAGCGAGTAAAGCTCTTGTAGCAGTGCTCACACTGGTAGGGACGGACGCCGGTGTGGATACGCAGGTGGTTCTTCAGGTCGTAGTTGTGGACAAACTTGGAGTTACAGTGAAGGCAGATGTAGGGGCGCTCGCCGGTGTGCTTCCGCATGTGGATCTTCAGTTTGTCCTGCCTGCAAAAAAAAAAAAAAAACCCCAAAAAAATGATTCATGCATATCGAAGATTAAAAGACGTTGACAAAGAAATACGAGCCTTGTGTTCTTTGAAGTTTCTGATTACACTCCTGGCCTAGACTATAGGTGGAAAATGCTAAAAGTAGGAGGATGTAGTTATCAGAGATAAAACTGATGCAAAGAAAAACGAGTGGAGGGGTTTTCCACTTTCAACTCTTTGATATTTAGATGAGATGAAGGCAGAATAACCTCAGCCAGGAAAATAGGGGGTACTTTTCCGTTAACCCAGCTGTTTCACATAAGCATTTACAGCAGAACATCATGACACCATCTTTGTGGTTTTTTTGCTGACGTACCTTGTGAATCGCACTTCGCAGATTGTGCACATGTAAGGTTTCTCCCCCGTATGCGTCCTCATGTGCCGTGGCAGTTTCCCGGCTCCTTGGATGACTTTATTGCAGATGGGACACTGCTGTGAAGCTTTGGGCTTCATCTTCCTCTCCTCTTCCAGCTGCCAGGGCGGAAACAGCGCCCCTAGGTGGGATGCCGAGCTCAGAAAGCTCAGGTAAGACCTAATGTCCGCCTCATCCTTGATGTGACCCTCCGATAACGCCGATCCAGCACTTATGGTGCCTCCCAAACCTGAGCTGACAAAGTCTTTCAAGAAGTCGCTTTGGAGCAGACTGGGAGAGACTTCTTCCTTTATCTCCTCCTTGATGATTTCTCGTTTCACAGCTAGATCGAGGGGCCTTGAAGCCTCGAGATGAGTGGAGGAGGGGAAGGTGTGAGGGAGTCGGGTTTGTGGTGAGGTTGCAACATGAGGATGTGGAGGGTTCAAAAGCTGTTGGGGGAAAGCTGGGAACTCTGCAGCCCACATAGAGGGGTAGAATCCAGGCATGAGAGGAGAGAAGTTGGTCCTCCGGTCGAGAGCCGACATCCGGGGATATAGCCCTTCCTGGAGGAGAGACTCAATGGAAAAATCCTTGAGAGCCCGACTCTCCATATTCTCCTTTAACACAAAAAGCATCATGAGTTTCCTGTAAACTTGAACTTGAACATATCTTTATTTTATAACTTTGCAAACTGTCCGAAGAGCTGAGCTCTAGTTTAGGTAGCATATCCAGTTGCTGTCAGTGTGTTTCTAGGTAGATTGAAATAACTTTCATATTATAAAGGCCATCAAACATGAACATGCATGCTGTTCTATCTAGAGAGGAAATACTTATCGTGTTGGTTCTTTAGACTAATAACCGTTTTTCTAGCAAGCAGCACTTTGATATGAAAGCAATAAACATGGTCCCTCTTTACTATTTAACATTTTAAGCACTTTGGAGTTAAAAAAAATAGTGACTGTGTTACATGATATAAACCCTTTTTATTATGGTGTCCATACTGATGCTAACAGATTGCTTGCTGCTAGCAACGTTAAAAGTTACATGTCCTTCAAAGTTTCATTTCAGGCCTTAATTAAGAGCATGTTTCACTAGTTTTAAATAGATTAAACTGGATTTAATTGTTTGCTGTTAATAAGATAATCTTTTTATACTGATCCAACTTTAACTGGACAGATTTATATCCAATATGATCATTACTCAAAGTTCATACATCTGACATAACTGACACAAAACTTTAAAACTTATTACACTGCCATTGAAACATAGACTGAAATATTCAGTACTAAACATATATTATTTAAAGTTTGTTTTTTTCCCAAAACTCAAATCCCATGATTGTGTAAATCAAGCTGCATGGTTACACCTCTAATAGCAAGCGGATGGAGTCATACCTGTTTGCCTCTGATGGTGTCTGGAGACTGAGATTGGGACAGTTGGTCCAACTGACCCTGGTAGGTGGAGGTGCTTGGAGGGGAAGAGTCCTCCGTCCCCAGAGGCGTCTGCTCACCCCTGCTCTCCAACGACTGCAGTGACCTCTCGCTGACGTTGTCCTCCTCCTCTTCCTGCTCATCCTTCCTGGAGCCCATGTCCTCCTCCTCATCCTCCTCGTCCTCATCCTCCTCGTCCTCTTCCTCTTCTTCCTCTTCATCCTCCTCTCCTTCCTCCTCCTGTCCCCGTCTCCCACCTTCTCCGCCTCCATCCCCACTGTCCATGATCTCCAGACAAACGTTGATGATGCAGGGGATCTCCAGCATCTGTGCTGCAGTCAGGATCTCTTTGACATTGGACGCGGTCACTGTCAGAGTGGAGGTGTAGGCAAACTCCAGGATAGCGGTGAGGGACTCTGGAGCTACGAAGTTGATTTCATACACGGCGGCAGCAGCATGATGGGGGTCTCCTCCGTCTGCAGTAGCGACTGTAAAGAGCTTCTTAAAATACTGGCTACAAGCGGCCAGAACGGAGCGATGGGTGCGGTACTCCTGGTCGCGGACAATGAGGACGACGTCACAGAGCAGCCCATCTCGCCGCTGCTCATTCAGGCTGCAGAGGACGTCGCTGCTGTGGTTTGGGAAAGGGATCCCAATCAAGTCATCCTCACTGTGATGAACCATCCTCCTCCCTCTAATTCTGTTAGGAAAACAAAGTGAAATCAGATTATTTAGGGAAAAGCGGATTCTGATAGACACACAATTCTGCTCATTTTAATCTGTGGTCATTTCAAAACTGCAATTTACTGAGAAATATTGACTCCGATAAACAGAAACCACTTTCTGTCCTTTTAACTCAGAATTTCTGAAATCAAATGAACTTTTCTCATTAATTGCTTTTAACTCTACACCAAAAGTTCTCAATATGGATTAACAACATGTATTTGTAGCATTTTTTTTTTGTTGTGTTTATAACTTTTTTTGTTTTACTGTTGCTGCATTGGAAAATCGATGGGATTGTGTGGAGTAAAAAAAAAAGAATAAATCTGTAAAATTCAAATTTAGAATATTTTGAGTCACTTTAAGAATTCTAAGTGTAATTTTGTTAAATCTATGTTAAATTAGAAATAATTTCCAAAAGCACTTAGAAAGCTGATTTGTTAATTAAAGTATTCATTGTCATTTTCTACATAAAAAGGTCAGCCCCATACTTACATTAATATTAAACTGATAATAACTGCTGCAGAGAGAAGATAGATTACACATTTTTGATTAAAAAAAAGAACCTTTATGCAATGCAAGATTTTATAGGTCCAGAGAACTCATGATAAAATTTGTCCATAAGCCCAGGTGTTATATTTTACACAACAACGCAACAGATAGCCCAGTATACTGCATTACCGCTATCAAATAATACCACAGCATTCTTTGGACCTATTGCTACAGTAAAAACTGTTTCAAATACTTCCTTCTAACATATTTAAACTGACTTTGTTTATGATTTTTTTCTTTTTTTTAGTTTCTTTATTATTGTTTTATATACAAACACAAATGTCTGGCTATAACCTGTCCCGATTCTTCTTTGAGGGGCCTTTATTCCATTTGCTTTCAAGTAGTGGTATAAGAATCATCTGAATAAAATCTAAAACATTTTGCTCGACAATACAGAGAAAATCTGCCACTCATTAAACCATTATTCATTTGAACAGGCTGATCTCTCCCTTTAAAGGAGCAGTGATGCAAACTGACCGAGATGCTTTTGAGATTTTAGATCAAGTGCTTTAAACCATAGGACTGAAGGAGGGATGTTGATTAAAGCTAATATTGTTCAAGCGCCAGGCAACAGTCAGGCTTTATTCTTTCTTTCAGTGCTTGTTTGTGTGCCATCTGTGAAATGCCGGCAACAAGTGGTAAATAAAGCATGCCTGTCTTTAAGCAAACATCACGTTCTTGGGTAATTTTTATCCTTGAAATGTGTTATTATAAATCCTTGTGTAGCAACTGTAAGCAAGTATAACCGATCGAATATACTTTAAAAAACTTTTTTTTAAATGTTAGTGCAGCCCTGAGAGGCGTGATGATACATTAAGTGCGTGCGAGGCTCCTGCGATAATGTCCATCCTCCTCATCTTGTCTCTGGCAGATTTGAGCATGGAGAAAACTGATACCTTCATGTGAACAATGCAGTTTGTGACTGAGATGTGGTGAGAAGAGGGGGGGAGAGCAACAAAAGAGGTCAGATTGTTCTCTAGATACTGTATCCTGTCAAAATGCTTACTTGCAATCAGTTCTTCACTCCTCCGACGGAGCCTAATGAAGCTCTCTCTGTGAGCCGTAAAACCTCCCCTCCCTCGGTTTGCTTTCCCGACATTTCTGAGTTCCTACCTGTTGATTCACTGCCCTGTTGTTTACACTCAGAGTGATAAAACTTCCTCTGGCAGGGCACTCGCTCATTCACGTCTATGAATAGAGCTCAAGTTTAGCCATCCACACTTTGGTGGTCACAGGAGGCATGTGTAGATAAACACTTTGAAGCGGCCCCGAACACCACAGCTGTATTGTTGACTGGCTCTAAACGGGACAGGGCTTGAAGCCACATAAACACACAGTCTCAAGAAAAGTGCCTCACTTTCTGCTCAGTGCAGCTCAGCATCACAATGCAGAAAAAGACGAAGGAAAAAAGGGAGCAAAAAACACTGAAAAGCCCTAAGTTCACCTGCAGGTACGCAACTTGGATACCAATCTTACATGTACCGGTAGTTTATTCTTGTCGATCTTGTTGCTTGGTAACTGAAGCCGAGTTCATGCCATTGATACAGTGTGGACGTAATTAAAATGTCTGTGGAGGGGGCGGTGATGAGGCGTATAGGGCTGCAGACCAGATCTCCTGCCTAACAGTGCAATAGAGAACAAAAGTGATGGAAAACCTCATATGGACCAGGCAAACTCAGAGGATGCAAGGAAAAAAAAGTTCAAATACTAAACCGGATTTTGTCCCAATGCTGTTTGTAGTTATAATCATCTATTAAAAATATATATTTTTATAACTATAAGGCCATATTGTAGTTATAATTGTCACCATTATGCCCAACATTATATGTAAAAAGTTTATTTTTAGCTGATTGGAGCCATCTAAATTCAGCTGGAACAAAAATACTAAAGGACAGGCTTTGGGTTTGCCTATTTTAATCAACCTAAACAACATTTGATCTGGATTTATAAATCATTTGTATCTTCTATTTCACCTTTTTCCCACATTTCTGTTGTTGCCAAGGAGGCATTTGTGATTCAAAGATATCTTGATTTTTGGATCTGTTTAATAAGATGTGCTGATTCTACAGCCACTAAGCATCAATCACAGAAGAAACAGTATGGCTAAAAGGTGAGATTATCTCCAGTTAGAGATACGATGGCCCAAAAAGTTCCCTAACAGGTTGCACAAACCGAAGCTGAAGGGCCCCTCCCTGGTGCAGCCTGCCAAATCAAACAATAGGGTAAAGCTTAGAACAACATGGGAGTGGATAAGAGAGCGGGAGAAAAAGAAAGTCTGGGACTGGGGAGGGGACCTGGCCTTCATGCATTTATTCTCTCCAACCATCCCACCCTCCTCTGGAACTATGGGGCCACTTGCTGCTGTTGCCGCTTTCTCTCCCAGTGCCCTGGCGAGCGCCACTCCCCTCGTTCCCACTGTTTGCCTGCCACTAGCTTCAGCGTTTGGCTCTCAGTGGCCGGCCCCCTAATTACAGTGTGGAGAGGATCTGAGGAGGATGTGCCACATAGACAGGGAGGAGAGGAGGGCACAGCGTTCCCACCGCAAGGTCCTGGAGCGACGTTTCATCAAGCCAAACAGACTTAACCCTTTACAAACACACACACACACACCCCACCCACCCATCCGACCAGCCAGGGTGGGGACGCCTTGAGAAAGGGCACTGGTAATTACTCTGACTCAGAGTCCATTATTTGTTAAAGCAAAGTTACAGCTGTCAACAGAAAAGTCTCAGTGGATTCCTCAGTTTGTAACAAGCGGTCACTGCATGATGAGACTTAGAAGTCATCAATAAACAACAAAAGTTGCATCTTCACACTTTTGCCAAACTGAGATTCTCCTAATCCTGAATAAATAAAAATACCAGGATTTCAGTTGTTTTTTTTTCAAAGGTTTCACATAAAACAATTAGGTAATCATATTTTTCTTTTTTTAAATAGAATAATTCCAGAAAAATATACTGTTATATATGTACCTATATCTCTAAAGTATAGCTTAAGTCTTTCATTGCTTGCTTCTCTTTACAGAGAAATGAATACAGATATAAAGAGCTTTTATTAGCTGCTGATTATCTGCTGATATCAGCTTCAGCGGTTAGACTACACTCTGCTGCTTAACAGACTAGCCGATCGTAGCTTATTTGTAATTTCAAAACTATGTTGTTGTTTTTTTTTAAGTTAAGGGTGGCACTCTTCAGTTTTCACACTTTGACTGCTTATCATTTTCTTCATGTTTCCTAAAAGTTCTTGAGCCTTCAAATGAAGAGGAAGGTGTAGCAGCCATCTTTAAACAAGCAAACCAGTGGTGGGGGAGCATCACAATGTCATTGCTTTCTGCTTTATAGGGCAAGGAAACACTCAGATCTCCCTCGCTCATCTTTCTAAAAGGACTTTAAACCGTAATGTATGGGGAAGTGTTAATTTTGAAAGCATGTATTTTTTCTAAACATAGACTTGCCTTGATAAACTTCCCTCGTTCTCGTCATTTCTGTTGCACGGATTAGTAGCAACAGATTTTATTAAGTAACTATTTCTAATAAAGGCTTTTCTGTGTCTCTGTCTGCAGCGGCCACGTCTCCTCTCATGCTTCACTTAGTCACCAACACCTTCAACTCAACACTCCCACCTTAAATTATGTGTCACCTCTATTCACTGTTTTCTTTCTCCAAGAACTTCATCTGCTTTTGGGCGCTGACCACCTCCTCCTTCCTCCTAATTTTCCTCCTCCTCTTCCTCCTCTTTCGGGCTGTGCTGCAGCTGTATCATCATTATGCCAGGAGTGGAGTTGTTAACTCGTCCTCAGCCCTGACCGCTCAGGCCACAAATCAGCAGCTAATGTCCATCCCAAACCCTCCTTGTCACAGACAGACACTCATTTGGCCTGTTAGCTCCAACAGCCAAAGCCTACTTTGGCCTTGTCAGGCCAGCGGGTACACCTGACCCACATGCTAAATCACCCTCAGCCAGAAACCACCCTTCACCAACTGGCAATAGCAAACGTCTGCTAAACAGCTGTCACAGACGGACAATTGCCCGGCCAATAATTTGACAGAGACAATTCACCCCCTCATTAAAGAGAGGACACTCATTTACGCCGCTGTGTAAGCCCAGTCCATTATCACCGGTAAACATCGCACCTGTTGCTGCAGGACATAATCCATACTCTTTGCTTTTTTTTTTTTTTATTGGAAAGTTTGGGGATTTTTTTTTCAGATACATGTGGACAGTTTCTACATATCATCTTAAGTGCTGTCAATTAAAGCAGGGGAGCCAGTTTTATAATGTGAGCTGCACTGTAAAGAAGACACTAGTGACATGGGGTGTATTGATTAATCAGTGAACTTAGTGATTAATCAATATGGACAGAAATAGGTTACAGAACTTAAAATGTTTTTATTTTATTTATATGAAAATAATACATATTTAAGTGACAAGGTTTGAATTAAAATTTGAAATCTCTTGGAAATTGCCTATCTATCTATCTATCTATCTATCTATCTATCTATCTATCTATCTATCTATCTATCTATCTATCTATCTATCTATCTATCTATCTATCTATCTATCTATCTATCTATCTATCCCTTCCTTAAACAACTATAAATGAAAACATCTGTTAATATTTCTTATTATTTTATTGCATTAATTAATGGTCTTTTTTTATCGCTCAGTGCTAACTTGTGTGTGTGTGTGTGTATATATATCTATATATAGATCAAGATCTATCTATCTGTATCATAAATAAATGTGCTTCATAACTTATATAAAAAAACAAATATCAAATACAGAGGCTAATTTAATTTTCTAAACCATTTTTTAAAACAACTACACAGTTGCAGGCATAAAGCTTGAAATCTGATATGTAATATATCTGTGCTAAAGTACATAATTAAGAAAAACAGCATTGTACTGACAGAGGTGTGATTTATTTTTTTTCATTGCACTTTATGGGTCTGTTGAGTGGGTGTCTAAATATATATATATTTATGTATCTTTAAAATTATACTTATTATCTATGTTGTTAAAAGCAGTTTCCTCTGCTTAACTATGATTTAAAAAGCAAACCTACCCTAGCAGGTAAAAAGCTTTTATTGTGTCACTTTTTATGTCATTTCTACATTTTGTAACATGACGTAGATGGAGGCGATGAGATGGGGCTGGTAAACAGTAATTTACAGCTTTACTTCAAATCCATAACATGTTTTTTTATTTTGTCCGCACTCTGAAACATCCCCTTTAAACTTCGCGCATCACCTGAGTATTTATTTTGGATTTCACAGAGAGAACATCGCCTGCATTTGGAAACCAAAATGTGTAATTACACCAAACGACCCAAACACACACTTAAAAAAAAAAAAAAGAAAGAAACTTCACTATAAACCGCTATGTTTGGCACTTCGTAGATGTGTTATGATGCTCAAAGTCCTCTGGTTATTTCCAGCATTTTACTGCTCGTGTTTTTATTCTGCAGAACGAATAATCAGTGAATCATTAAGTCGTTTTTATTGACTTGTTTCATGCCTTCATGCACTTTTAAACACATGCACAAGTGGAAGCTTGTCCACAAGCGTGCACATGGTGCAACTCTGACAAAAATATTAAGCACTTTTCCACACCGACACACATTTACGCATGCTGCAAAAGTCTCTTACGCACAAATTTACACAAGTCTTGATACGCTCTCTGACATTCCACAGTTATCAGCAAGCATCACCCACCTTCCTTCAGCTTTCACGGTTCCCCTCACGTGTCTTTGTATTTCCAGACTACTAAGAGGCAAAGCTGCTCCTCACTTGACCTCTCAGCATCCCTCTTTCAAACTGAATCGCACCTACCGGCTGTCAAACAGGTCCATTCAAAAAGCTCCTTGTTCTGAGCGCTGCTGCCCATTCAGAAAATTAAAAGAAAATAAAGAGGAGGAAAAAAAATGCACCTTAAGAAGAATATCCAGTGGAGGGAAATGGAGCAGTGCGCCAACCGATTGTCTGGAAACGTGTGGAGTTTGGAGTCAGTGGCTCTGTGCGCACTGAGCGCGAGGGAGTGAGAGGAAGGGAGGGAGGGCAGCAGCTCTGCGCTGTGGAGATGTCGCACCACTAGTTTTTATAGCAGGGTGGGTAGCTGGAAGATAATAATACCCCATCCTCCTCCACAACACAAGTTTAAGCGCAGTGTGTAATAAGCCCGTGGCGCAGACACCCTCTGATTTAGGTCAGACAAAATGAATTTTTAGTTGTGTCAGAGTGGATGCTGCTGTAAAGGGACCGGGGCAAAGGGAAGTTTGAGGGGTTGTTTGGGGAGACCGAGAGAGGGAGGGTAAAAAAAGCAGCAGTGAGAAAAGTTGGACCTCTCTTGTGCAGAAAAGTGCAGCTAAAAACTGATTGTTTCATTTTCAACATCATATTTAATCATTCTGCATCCAAATGCCTGTTTTTTCTTTTCAAGCTTTGGATATGTGAGTTCAAAAACAGGTGGTGAGGTGGTGACCGGGCTCCATAAATACTCAGAAGAGACTAATTACTGAAAAACATCATAATAAATCAGCCCACTCTGGCATGCTGCAACCTACACACGCACAGAAAGAGACCTCTAAAAAACAAACTCATCTGGTTCAAGGAGTTGTGTTAATTTGAACGGAAATATTACTTAAAAAGCTGAGACTTAATCCAACCACAAACACAGAAAATTACCACAGGCAACAGTGCAGACATGCGTTCCTCTTTGTTAAACCGTCGAATGAAACCCAAGGTTTCAAAAGAGGCTCACAGACAAACGATGGATTCCTGTTTTGAGTCAGAAAGCGCAGAAACAGGGCAGCAGTTTGCTGCTCATGCCATCACCTCAGCTAGAGGAGGTGTGGAGGAAGTTACAGCAAAGATGTGAAGAAGAAAGTGAACAGGGATAACAGAAGTTATACTGTGTCTTGGTAAAATTTTAACTCTTTTATCCAGATACAAATGCAAACTAATTGTTTTATTTGTATTTAATGTTAGAGATTAGTGTTAAGGGGAAGAAAACTATTCAGAAAATGTTTTTCTAAATGAAATGTAGATGTTTGGTATCAATTTGAATCCAGCATACTCATCCTTTGAAGCTGCAGAGCTTTCTATTGTAGGTATCTCTATACCAGCTTTACAAATGTCAACTCTGCCCATTTGTCTTTTAGAAAACAGCTCCAACTAAGTCATACTGGATGGAGACTGTGTCACAAAACTAGTAGCTGCATACATGGATGACATTTTATTTTTAAAAGTGGGGAGGGAGCAAGTATTTTTCTAACTTAAGTGTGTTTGACTGTCCAATCACAGACCTGATTCAGTGGAATCAGATGTTTGTAAAGTGAGCTTCTCAGGAGTGACAGCCAATCACACAAGAAAAGACGCTGAGCCAATCAGGAGCTTGAGGGCGGCCTAAGATAAAGAAAAGTGGGATTTAGCTTGAGCTGCGGTTATCTAGTGCTTGATGAATGTCTGTGTACTGTGTAGCATTGTTTTTGGACAGTAAAGAGTGCAGGGGACATGTCCTCCCCAAACCCCCAAAGAAACACATCCATGGCTTCATGTTCCAAAGTTGCTGGATTGTTCTAATAGAAAGATGCTTTATTTATTTATTATTATTATTTTTTTTTTTTATTTATTTATTTTTTTACAATGTCCTGTCTGGCAATGTGGCAATAAAAATAATTGTCTTGATGAGAAAAAGAGCCCAACAGATTTTACTTTCACAAGTGGAGCAGTAGGGCTATTGCCTATATGCATATAAATTGCTTTATTATAATTATGCAGGGAGTTTTACAGTTTATATGGACACTGCAATGTAAATAGAACAGAAGAGGAAAAACAGAAAAAAAATAGAAAATATTAAAGAAAGAGGAGATAGAAAGGAGATAATGATAAAACATTTTCAGTCTGCTTTATCACCTGCAACGAGATGTAAAAAGAACAGCACAACTAACAGACATGGTATGAGACATACAATAAAGTAACACCTTAAACTATCGCTGAAGTAGTATTATTTAATCTGACATGTACTCTGTGTTACCTGAAGATAAGAGTGTGGGCTTTCTGTATGGAAGTGAATCTCTGAGTATCTGGAACCAAGCACCTGTAGTTGTTTGTGAGAGTGCACTTGTGCATGTCAAGTTTATCAAAAGAAAAAATGCTCAATAGTAAATAGATGCTAAAATTGAAACCTATCCATTGTTGCTCTGGCTTTGTGTTTAGAGTTGAGTAAACTCCCTCTGCTGACATGTTTTTGTCCAGGAAGTTCCAACATTTAGCGCCATACCCTCTCAACAACACACCAAATGCCCTAACCCTGTGAAAGAAAAGTATGCCTACAGCATTATACTCTCACTTCCATGTTTCTCCATTTGTTCCAATTGTTCAAGGTGACGCTCAGTGTTTTATCTTCAGGCACATGTAACATTTAAGACAAAATTTGGGTCCTGTCTGCCCTTTTTATTAAAACCTTTTTGCACAATTTGTATTTGAAATAAATAAAATAGGTGTGCAACTTTAAAATGACAAAAACAGAACAAATCCAATTAAATTTCATACCTCTGACTTTTTAAAAATAATGTGTTTTTGCAACTCTATGACCTTTTATTGCGTGACAGTTTGTATTTCTGATTATACTATAAAGAACTGAGGAGAGAGAAAATAGGACAAATGTTTCATAGACAAGCCAAATCTTATGACGAAGCACATTCAAACAATCTGAGACAGTCGGTGGGCTTTCCTGTCTGACATTGTTAAACCACAGCCTTTAGATTACTTTTTAGTTCACTTTGGAGTTACATGTTGCAAATCAAGCTAATTTACTCATCAGCCTAGGCTAAAAACAAAAGCCATGGCTCAGTGTTTCCATTCAGAAAGGTAGAACCCACTCTAAGCCATTGTTTTCTTTTTGTGGCTGCTGCATTTACAAATCGTCTAAAATACTTTGAACCATCCTCACAATATAACCAACAATCATTCTGTAAAAGCTGTCAGTTTCTGCCATAAACCGTCAACAGCAAGCAGACATCAGAGTGAGTGTACATCAGGCGGCCATGCCCACTTCCCCCTCCCGAGGAAAACACGGACCAAAGTAGACCGCAGCCGGGGCCGATGGTGGTTTACACTGTTTTGTACAGGGCGAGAGTTGAGGGCAGCTCACATTGGCATCCAGTATATATAAACAGGGTTAGCCACAAACTGCTCTCAGGCCAGCCAGACAGCCAGAAAAATAAGAGTTTGCCATCCTATAAGGGCAGCTATCTGCTTTAAACATGGCACAGCTACTATAGCAGCTGGCTAACTGCTACCTGCGAGGATGGCGTTATCCCCAAATGGATTTTTTTTGTGGAAGACCATCATTACAAAAACCTGTTGTACACAGCTGGTGACACACAGAGTAGAAAATATCTTAGAGGACTCAAAAGGTTCAAAACAATGATAATTTCTTTTAATATATGAGTGAAATGTGTAATAATCAATGGAAAGAATAAGTTGCTCCTTTGTTTCTCATCTGGCATCATCATAGTCCTCATAAATACAACATGAGTCTTCAAGTGCTCAGAGTCACAAGACATGGGGATTCAAAGGGCTGAGTAAGAGTCATCTGTTTTGTCTGGGTCTGACTGACTGAGAGGCCTCTCAGCGTACCTGTTTACTGCCACCTGCTGCTCCCAGCAGGCCACACGTACCACGACACCAGATTGGTTCTGTGGAGAAGGGATGGGGTGTGAAGGATGCAGCTTAACATAAAGTCACAGAGACTCTAGTGCCTTTCTCCACTTGCCTTATCATACTTTACAATAAAAAAAAGAAAGAAAGATATTTTTTGCAATATCTAAGACTCTCTTTTACAAACGTATTTGTTTAGCCATGATCTCATTACTGTTTGCCAGCAGTAGTGGGTTCCTTAAGCCTTTGCTAGATAACAGGAAGTTTGAACATAATGCATCAAAGTTGCCCTGCTGTGCCAGATCTCCCACAATCAGCCCATTATTCATTAGCTTAGAAAATGACAGTCACTATATATTCCTCTCGTCTAATACTCTACCCTTTGTCAGGGGTTTAGTTGAACTAGATCTGGAGGAGCTGGTGGTTAAATGGTTGGGTAAAATTTGAATTTGAAGTCCATCAAAGGATCAGTGACAAACACCTCTTTCCACTGAAAACACTTATCAGATTTTCTCTTTGCCACGTGCCCAGCAAATAGATTCTTATTATGACTGCATTTTACCTTAACCTATTTAGAAATAGAATATCAGTAACAAAAACTCCTTTAGACAGGATGTAGATTTGTCTTAAATGGCAACGAGCACCTACACACCAGCTAGACTTATTCTCATTTTGAGACGATTCACCACATTTACAACGGAAGGTGAGGGGGACATCAAAGCAGCATATTTTAACATTTCTTAAGACATAAATAAACAATGCTTTTTTTCTATTTCTAGTGAGTCATCTACTCCTATAAAGTGGCTCCACGGTAGGTTTTACCTTTGTGCACTCAAGTCTAAACAAATAACTTTGCATTGATATACTGTATGATAGTAAATTGAAAATAATGATCATTGGGATTAATTGTGTACCTCAAATCCGGTCCTCGAGGTCAGGAATTAAGAGGAGACACACCTAAAAGATGCTGGACAACTGATTTTGAGGGTCAGAACTGAGGAATCCTGATGATCTTTCACTACAGACATATTAACACATTTTTAAGGGAGTATTTATTTTAGCTTCGCCTATCTATAGCCTCTGATCATCTTCCCTGATTCCTCTGAAGGAATGCATACCCACAGCATAATGCTGCAGCCACCATGTTTCACAATAAGAATGGTATATTCATTCATATGCAAGGTAGACTTCTAACAGCCAGAGCATTATAATGAATACCCCATTTGTTTCCATCTGACCTCAGCATCATCTTCCACATGTCTGAGCACCCAAAATTCTCTGTTGAACAAACAGCAATATGCACACAGTTGGAATCTATTTACCAGTAGATTTCTGATAAAAAAAAAAAAAGAAATAAAGATTTCCTGTAAGTCAAATCCATAACAG